TGGAAAAACTGGCATAACTTAGAAGCAGGGTGGAGAAGACAGAGATCCCAGCCAGCAGATGGACAAGATCCATCACAGGGCACATAATATTGTTGGGCAATTTCCGAAAGTGCATCCGCCGCAGCTCCTTTTACCTTTTTTGCTCTTTGTTATTTATCTGACAGGTTCATGATGTGGACCTGAGAGGGAAGGTGGAAGTAGGGCAAGCTGACAGTCAATCCTCCACGAGGCCGGAGTAATCAATGCTGGTCATGGGTCCTTCCGCCAGACGGGAGGAAGCGTGAGTGTGTGTCATGATGTAACATTGTATTTTGAATTGCCGGTGGAATAGGAACCGGACTGATGCTCCCCAGAAAGGAAATGGAGCCAGGGCCATAAGGACCTGTTTAAAAAAAAAAAACAAAAAAAAACGGGGAAGATAAAGAATTCAAAAGAAAAAAAAAAAACTTTATTTTTTAGTTTAAATATGGTAAATATATATATATTTAATAACTGAACATTTTTTTATTTTTTTTTAATAAAAGCCGGGAACCGGGCCCGGCGTCCCTTACAAAATTAGGTGGGGACCTCAGTGGGCAAGGCATCATCGGCCAAGCACATAGAGGGCACCACTAGTTTTAACCCCACAGCCAACTCCACAACCAACTCCACAGCCCCAAAAGTGAACGAAAATTATCATCACAATCTAGATTATCCCTAAGAAATGAAAATACTACGAAAATCTAAAGTTCATCACTAAAAACTGTAATCACAATAGTCATGTCAACCCTAAGTTAGTGACCTAAATTCCACCTACCGGAGAAAACGAATCAAAGCCACAAAAAAGAAACGAGCGATCAGTGCTGCGTGATCATGTCCACCATTCATCTGGAGTTATTACCAACCCCTGCCAATCCGCCCTACCACCCGCGCGGCAGGGGTCTGTGCCCACAGGCCCCAAACTGCTGACAGAGACCCCGCAAACCCACCCACCTCCTCGCGATTCAAAGCGGATAGCACCTCCCCACACTCGTCATTACAAACACCAACTCCCATGACGAGGCTGTTTTCACTAACCAGGGGATTACCCTACCTCCCGCGCGGCAGGGGCTAAAAAGCCCCGCAAAACCCACCCACCTCCTCGTGATTTAGGGTAAGCCTCTCCCTCAATCTGCATATACCCCCTATGGATGCTTCCCCTCCCTCCATGACGAAGCCCCTGTGAAGCAATGCTCGCCACTTCTCCTTGAGAATTCAGATGACAGCAAACAGCAGCCTATTAGGATGAAATGAATATCTGACCCAAATTCAACGTCTCAGCAGTAATACCCTACCTCCCACACGGCAGGGGTCAAAGACCCCGCAAACCCACCCGCCTCCTCGCGATTTAGGGAAAACCACTTCCTCTAATCTGCACCTTCTCACAAGGAAACCCCACTGCCCACCATAGTGGCGTTTCTACAGAGCAGCACTCTCTCTTTCATTCCATCGCATGCAAAACACTACACAAAAATCGCAACAAATTACAACAACTATTACCCAAACAGCGAAACAGAAACCAAATCCTATAAAAAAAAGATGGAGATCAAACCCACGATTGCCCAACCCGAATATGTCACCAAGCCCAATATCTTCATAAACCAGCAGTGATACCCCGCCACCCGCACGGCAGGGGTCAAAGACCCCACTAACCCACCCTCCTCCGCGCGATTCAGGGTATTAAACTACTCCACCCATCTGTGTCGGCTCCCAAAGAGACCCCACCGCCCACCATGATGGAATCCCCACGGAGCGACACTCACCTATTCGTGGCAAATTTCCAAGCCAAACCAAAAACTTACACCAAACCAACAAACAATCCAACACAAACAGTCCACTATGTACAACTCTCTCTCTCTCTCTCTCTCTCTCTCTCTCTCTCTCACACACACACACACACACACACACACACACACAGACCCTAACACGGACCATGACAGGTGAGCACGCCCATAGCTCCTGTCTTCCTCACCTTCGCGGGCTAACCCTGACAACAGTGTCAGGGCAGGAGACCCCCGCAAAAACCTCCATATCAAAGGTTGAGGGGTCAGCACCCCCGATCAGTCTCGTCAGGTATGGTGCAGCGTCCGGATCCCATCATCCCACCCGCCGACGGCCCCCACATATCACGCTCTCCTTCCTCCACCGAACTAGGATTCCTGAAAGAAGTCAAGTGAGACCAGCAACGACCAGGAGCATATCACAGCTCCCTCGGCACACCCCCCTAACACCCCAGTGTCCTTCCCTGCGCTGCCATGGTCCCGCCAGCGCCAAGTTTTGGCAATCGAAGCAGACAGATGTTGTCGGCCCCGTGAGTGATTCCATAGCGCCCGAACGCTGCCACTGGGGCGGCGCGTTAGCGTTACCGCAACGTAACGCACAGCCGTCTTCTTGTTTTCCAAAATCAATTTGCTGAACAATTTCGATGTGACCCTTGAAGCAAAAAAAAAAAAATGGTAAAGAATTTCGATGTGGCCCTGAGGCAAAAGTTGTTCAGTTTATTTTCCTGCATAACATAATTTTGTTTTGGATTTTTCTGTTTTTTTTTTTTTTTGCTAGGACCTTCCCTTGTCCTTGCACGGCCGGACTGTCCAGGAAAATAGGGTGGCCCGGACGGCCCGGCTGGTAGCCTAGCTTGAAAGTGCTGCTTATGACTAGTCTTCACTTTCATTTACGGCATGGAACAAACTGAATGATTTTCCTTGGTTCAATCACACAAACATTTTCTTTTCTTTTTCTTTTCTTTTTTTCTTTTCTTTTTTTTTTTTTTTTTTTTTAARAAAACAGGCCTTTTGGTCCTGGCTCCTTCTATTCTGGGGAGCGTAAGTCCGGTTCCTATTCCACCGGCAAGTCACACAAACATTTTCTATACAAAACGTGGGATGTCATTAGTCTCCATCCAAGAGAAACTTAGCTAGGAGATAAACAATTCTTCTCAGAACTGAAGTCCTGTAGCTCATGAGTAAAGTTTTTGTCATACAGGGGAAAACACATTCACGTCATCATAAGGTTTACCATTTCCTCTCTTTTACCAGCGCACCGCCCCTCTACTTTTCACAGAGAGGATAACGCGTTCTTGTTCGCAGGCTAGTGGTTCAGGGCTCAAACTGCTGCATACGCTATCAGAATTATACAGCAGAGCTCGCCTGATCTAAGCAAAGCAAGTACCGCCGTTAGCACTCGGTCTGTGAAGGCGGGGATAGGATCATCCACAAACATCAAAGTAACTTAGAGAAACTCATAGACAGTAAAGAAAAAGACCCAATCACAGATAATGAATATCGCTACGGTCTTCCCCCGAACACAACGCACCCCCATTTTACCTGTATCTGGCCGGAAACATACCTTGTATACGATCATTTTCAGGGTGCGTTATGTTCGGGGGAAGACGGTAGTTATCCATAGTTACCAAGTACAAGCACCAACTAGTAACCTCTAACGTCAGAGGGCATTCGTTGGTCACTACAAACGATTCCAGCTCCACTACTCCCCAGATATGCGAAATGAGACTGAATCCTCTTCTGGAACATGGAAAGATGGATTGCAAACACTTGATTTTTTTTTTTTGGTCTTCCTCTGGGTCTGTTGGTACAGTAACGAACTGTGGAAATAGGACCCAGGGCCTCACTCTCTCGACATGGGCAAAATGATAGTGAATCGTTCGGCACAACATGACACTGCCATGATGTTTTATTATTATTATTATTATTTTTTAGGTGAAACACTGGCTCCATTCTATTTGCGGGGAGCTGCACGTGTTGGACTGCCATGATTTTTGTCTGTTGCCATGATTTTTGTCTGTTGTGCATGTAGAGAAAAGCGGAGCCAGGCCCCTGAGCTCCAATCCACTTTTTTTTTTCTTTTTATGTGTAGTACGGGAAAACACCAACCAACCCGGATCTCTCCCTAGCGCACAGGGTAGGTTGGCACCACAGCAGTGGTGCAAGCGCAAGGGACTGAGGGCTTCCCTCCACTACTCTGGACATCCACAAAACACAGTGACTGGCCGATAGAAGAAGTCGGTCCTGATGCTACCGGCTGACCCCTGGCCGGTATAGCCCACCTGCTGTAGCAGGTATCGCACCTGCTGGTGGGTGCAGCTCCCGCATGTTCCCTCGTTGGAGGCTTGAGCATGGATGTGGATGCTACGAGGTTCCCCATATAATACTATAATGACAATAAAAAACGCCCGAAAGGCCGTCCTGTCCAGATTCTACAGGTAATTGAATTGGTTGGGCTTAAAGGAAAAAAAGAAAAAAAAAAGTGGCATTTGGGTATTATTTCCGCATTTGGAGAGTATTTGAGCCAGGCCCTCAGTCCTCCGCTGGAAGAAAGCTCCGATCGGACCGGAGCTCTTCAAATGTGCAAAATGTGACTGAATCCTCCGCTGGAACTGGAAATGTACATTGCCATTTTTTTCTTTCTTTTCGAAACTACTCTATATTCTCCTCTCAACTTCACGGTTCACGATCTACCTACCACTGCTCCTAACCTATGCAGGGGACCCCAACAAGCATAACTACGCAAAGATGGTCCATTTTGCCAATAGCTTCACTTCACATCTACTTCCCCCACCGCCCCGGTCAAGTAGCAGCGGTGGCTATGGCCACCACTCTCTCATGCACATCACACCACCCGCTCACGCTCACAATCATATCCGTGTCGGCGCTAAGTGCGCTGGGGGCGATCATGGGACTTGGCCAACTCTTTTTTCTTTTCTCCTTTCCCGCCTTGCACGTCCGACCCTGCCATGCATAGGGAGGGTTTAGTCGGAATCGGAATTAGTACGAGTAAGCTTTAAAAGAGTTGATTCTAAACATCTCTCAGTTGAGTTTATTTGCTTACCATTCACAGTTGGACTGTTTCAATTGAATTCGGATGTAATCTTGCTCTACTACATTTCAGGAAAGTTCTAGTTTTTTAGTATTATGCCATTAGTGACAGAGATTCGGTGTTCTGTGTCGGAAATTGTGATGCTGCAGGAAATGCATCCCTGTTAGGCTTGCTTCAGCTGAACACCAGCCTTTGCTGACGCCCACAAGCAAAGCTGAGGAAAACCGATCTACATTCGCAGCAAACCCCGCGGAGGTACCAAGCACTGCCAACCTGGGATTGCAAAGAAAGGAGTATGACCCAGTGCAGTGTCAGGGCGAGCTCGTGCAGTTGCTGGGGGAATCATCGGCCCTCAATAACAACTTCATGCCAGACAAAGACCCGCCACAGCTGCAGGAGGCGCTAGTCAAACAGTCGGAAGCGGAGTCAGAAGGGCACGGATATCTTCAAGAGCATGGACTCCTTATAGCGTTACTTGGGGACAGCCAGGGGAAATGCAGGGCAGATGGAATCGTAGAGCAAGATGGACAAAGAGTAGAGTCGCAAGCAGAAGTCCAAGGGCATAGACTTCTTGCGTTGTCTCTGGGGGACTCTCCGGTCCACAGTGACAATTTCAAGCCCAAGGAAGATCCAGCGCAGCAGGAGGCGCTAGTCGAACCATCGAAAGGTGAGTCAGAAGGGCCTGGATTTCTTCAAGAGAGTGAACTTCTTGTGACATTGCTGGGCGACCCTGGGATCCGCAGAGACAATTCCATGCCCAAGAACGATGCGGAGCAGCCGGAGGCACCAGTCAAAACAGAAGCTGCTTCAGAAGGGCATGGATTCTTTCAAGAGCATGGACTTCTTGTGCAGTTGCTGGGGGACTCTCCGGTGCGGAGCAACAATTTCATGCCAGAGAAAGATCAGTTGCAGCAGGAGGCGCTAGTCAAACAATCAGAAAGTGAGTCAGAAAGGCATGGATTTCTTCAAGAGCATGGGTATCTTGTGCCGTTGCCAGGGTACTCTGCAGTCTACTGCAGCAGTTTCATGCCAGAGAAAGATTCGGTGCAGCAGGAAGCACTAGTCAAACAAACAGAAGCAGTGTCAGAAGGTTATGGGTTCCTTCAAGACCATGGACTTCTTGAGCAGTTGCTGGGGGACTCTCCAGTCCGCCGTGAGAATTTAGTGCCAGGCAAAGATGCTGTTGAGCAGGACATGCTAGTCAAACAATCACGATGTGAGTCAGAGTTGCATGGATTTCCTCACGAGCATGGACTTCTTGTACAGTTGCCTGGGGACAGCCGGGGGGAACCCAGGTCGGATTCGACAGACAGCAACGACCGACAAAGGGTTGTCGTAGAAGAACATGAAGCAAACGTTATGACTGAAAAATCCGAAGGAGACCTTGCACCTAGTGCTCCAGAGTTTGCTGTTTCAGGTTTCACAGCTGCTGTGCCTAGCACGCCGAAGGGCTCACCCCTTTGTGGTCGAAAATTGGTGGGTCCACCTGCCTCCAGGGCGTTCATTGCAGCGGAGCCGGTGCCTGGAAAGGATTACCGTTGGCAGGTGCGTAGATGAAGTGTTGCTGGTGGAAAGGGCAAAGTCTGAACAGTACTTTACGGAATGGGGAAACTTGGCCCTTTATTTATGGGCGTGGTGGAATCCATCCCCCAAGTTTCTGTGGCACCCAGTCACGGCTGAGATGTATTTCAAGTCCATAGAGATAGGGAGATTGAGAGGCGCAATGAAGTAGAGAAGTAAAAGACCATCTGGGGAGCAATATCTGCTGGGTCTGAATCCCTGCCTGGACTCCCGTTSGGGTTAGTCACAAAGAACCGCCATAGCAGGCAGGAAGCCTTAGGGGGACGAGGAAGAAAGGGAGGAAGCACAAGAAAAGGGGGCTGTGAAAGACAGTTTCGTTGGACTTTTACTCACTGGTCAGGAGGCCGAATCCTTGACAGACTGCATCCATATATATGTATGAGGCCCAGGCTGGAATGTCTCCTTGAAAGATCTCTCCTCCATCTTTTCTGTGTTATGAGTCCAGGGATGAAGGGATAAGCAGTGTAGATACCTTGGAAGTAGCAGTTTATGTGTGTTTGATGAGGGTCATGTCCGAAAGCACCAGAGGGTCAAGTCCGAAAGCACCAGGACAAAAGAGCAGCCTTCCTTGTTATAAGGTGGCCATGCTCAGACCGGTGGAACGGAAAGGGGCATTGGATTTTCTGTCAGACTGAGGCCCAGCGTAGACGTCTCGCTGAAAAATCTCTCCTCCATCTTCTTCTGTGTTATGAGTCCAGGGATGAAGGGATGAGCAGTGTCGATACCTTGGGAGTAGCAGTTTACAAAAGAGCAGCCTTCCTTGTTACAAGGTGGCCATCCTCAGACCACCGGAACAAAAAGGCTCATTGGATTTTCGGTTAGACTGTGGGGTTGGTGCCTGATAAATGTTCCGCCTCTGCTTTTTGTTCGGACTTAGAATTCTTCACCTTTAGTCTCTGAGGATCCTACACAGACATATGTTGGTTTCCTGCGGATTATCCATTGTATATTGAAATTCATTCAATAAATAGGTTAGGACTTTCCCGCATATAGTGGCTTCGCTGTGGGACTTCTCTGGTGCTGGTGATTTCTTTTGCCCGGTTGCGTAGCCTGCATGATTGCATGCCAAGGTGCACCAGAGAGTTCCAGCGTTCGAGGCTCACTCAGGTTCACAACTTGAATGAGATCTGCTGGTTGAAATTGCCTACGAGGACACGGAACATGCCATCGAGTTGTGCTGGTGAGCTGATTCCTGATAATTCCACTCTGTCCAAACAATTTCTAGGTTCAACTATGTCCAAACCATTCTGAACTCTTTGGAGGTAGTTACGGTCCCCTATTTGCCAATCAACCTGGGCCTAGTCACTGTGGATGAATCTTAAGCCTCTCACCATTTGAGAAATAAAGGCATCTGGTTCGGGCACCCAGACCTCTGAAACTGAAAAGTTGCATCAGATTTTCAATCAGAGTGGGGGTGCAGAATCTCATAGATTTTAGGACGTGGGTGAATGACCCACTTTACCATTGTTCTTCTGTGGTAGTCGTGGTTTAAGGCATCTTGCTCGAGTGGAGACTTAGGGGGCCGCAGAAGGTTAGGTGTCAACACTGGCAAGTGGTTTGAGGTCAGCACGGGCTCCAGGTGTTTTGAGGGGTTGGGAGCTAAGGCAGTGCAAAACAAAGACTGGATTTGTTCACCTCTTCCTGTGAATGCCTCGCCAACCCCCTCCACCATCAGTGGGCAGCAACAGTGACCTTGGTACTCTGGACATTGCAGTGCTCGTTCCACCATGATTATTGTGTTTGTCTAAGCATGTGCATATCAGATTCTGGGGCTGAAATGTTTGATTCAATTGAAAATTCAGTTGCTGGCATAGGTAATTCTTGTGACGTGACTTTTCTATTATCTATCTATCTATCTATCTATCTATCTATCTATCTATCTATCTATCTATCTATATCTGTTTGATGATATATATACATTGTGACGATATATACATATACGATATATATATCGTCAAATAGAACTGCCCGGTAAACCGTAGGCAGAGAGGGAGAAGAGGACAACAAACGAGGGGCTGTGACAAACTGTTTCGT